TGCACCTGTAATCTTAGCTACTGGAGAGGCTGAGACATGAGAATGACTTGAACCTGGGAGGCAGAGGTTGCAGTGAGCTGAGATGGCACCACCGTACTCCAGCCTGGGCTCCATATAAAAAAAAAAAAAAAAAAAAAAAAAAAAAGGAGGCTCAGGGAAGTTAAGCTGTTTTTGCCCAAAGTCACACCTCTGGGACATAGATAGAGACCAGGCACTACCTGACCTCTAGCCACAGCCTTTACCACTGCACTGTGCCATCTCACTGGAATTCGCTCCTGGCCCTGGGGCCGTGGGTCCTGACCCCAAGAGAGGGGAGCGAGACAAGAGGCCAAGGGGCTTCCAAAAATAGGACAGGGATTCAGTGCTACAAATTCTGCTAAGAAGACACTTCAGCATTTTCCCCAGCAGCTTCTGGAACCTCGAAGGGAGACAGAAGAGATCATCAGCACCCTGCATTCACCCATCCCGGCCCTGCCTGCCTGGCCCAACTCCCCTCCCTGCTGGGTGCTGCAGTCCCCTCGGAGGAGGGAAAACGCGGTGCTTTGCCAACATCATCTCATCCGATCCGGAGGACAAAGGTACTTATGGCAGTGCTATTACCCACATCTTCCCAATGAAGACAGATGCACAGAGGCGATCCGGCTTGCTAAAGCTCTTAGTAGAAGGCAGAGCCAGCATTTGATACGAGGAGAAAAATCAGAAGAGACATGGGGTGAGGTGAGATCAAGGGGCCGAGAAGCACACAGGCTGAAGTCGTCTCTCGGAGGCTGGCCGGGGCTGGCAGGAAGCAGTGGGTGCAGCAAGGGTACACACCTGCTGAAACCAGACTCAGGGCCCAGGGGAGGCAGGGAGGCAGGGACGGCTGCGGAACAGACAGGAGGCCAGGTAGAAAAGCACTGACTCCTCTTGCTTCAGGTTCTGGGTTGGGCCACCGAGGAAGCTCTGGGCCAGGCAGGAGGAGGAAGGGGTCACCTGCCACAGGTGAGGGGCCTGCTAAGCCCATCGCACCTCACCTACCCAGTGGGACGCCCGGGGGAAGTCTCCAAGATGGCAGCCCAGCAGCCCAGAAGGAGGAGTTGTCTGGTGTCTGCTCTGAGGACCTCAGCATCGCCATCGCCAGCACGAGGCATCATGCTGACCAACCCCACACGCAGGAGGAGGCAGCGGGACCACCTGTCCACAGAAATCCCACTCACGCTTCCTAAAAGCATCATTCCCCAGAGCCGATTCCCAGAGGCCCCTCTCGCACCTCCAGGATGAGAGGCCTTCGCAGGCGGCTCCTCGGAAGGGAGGCAGCGTGCGGGGCCTGCGGGACGAAGGAATTCTGAGATTCCTGGTCCTTCCGTCCGGGCCCTCACCAGCGTCCTGCTTCCTGGCCGCTGCTCCTCTGGAGCACGGTGCACTGTTTTCTCGGCATTTAGCACACAGTGTGTAGAATGTTGTAGAATGAGTTAATTCTTTTCAGTTCTTCACACAGAGCCCCTCCTTGTTCTCAAAGGGCTTAGGGTCTAAAAGGCTCCGATATCACACATTATGCCACTTATCCTCACCCCCACGCTGGAGGCGCTGTCGGTGTTCCCACTTCAATGAGAAGAGCTTCAGACAGCTTGTCACTAGCCCAAGTACACAGCACGTAAGTGGCTTTGAACTCAGATATGTCTGGCTCCAGAGCCACAGCTCTGCCCACTCTACCACCCTGCTTCCTTCCCCAAGAGTCTCTGAATCTTCCCTTGCACACCGTCCCCTGCCCCCCATCCCCCACCCTACGACAAGCTGCCTAAGCTCAGGACTGGCTGGCAGAATTCACTCATTCAATCACTCATTCACTCAACCCAGCAACCAACTCATGTGCTGGTTGTGGCGGGCCTTCCTTGGCTGCCAGGAAACCGCAGATGGAGTGCAGCGCGGGGAGCCCTTCAGGGGAGCAGGGGTTTTTCTCCAGCCCAGGCTGCCCTCTCCCCATTGCCCTTGGGACTTTTCCAGCAGAAGCCAAGACCCAGGCAGCTGCCCTGCCCTCAGCCTCTCGTTCACTGTTCACCGGGGAAGGTCTAAGCACCAGCCCCCATCATTCCCCCTCCCCAAAGGACAGCAGCCTAAAATGTCCAGGCTGAGTAACGCGGAGAAGCACAGTCCCCAGGTCTCTGTTCTCTGAGGATTCTAGGACCAGAGGAGGGACAGAGCCAGGCACAATGGCTCCGCCTGTAATCCCAGCACTTTGGGAGGCCGAGGCGGGTGGATCGCTTGAGCTCAGAAGTTTGACACCAGCCTAGGCAACATGGCAAAACCCTGTCTCTACAAAAAATACAAAAGTTAGCATGGCGTGTGCCCGTAGTCACAGCTACCCAGGAGCCTGCGGTGGGAGAACCACATTCAAGCCCAGGAGGTTGAGGCTGCAGTGAGCTGTGATCATGACACTCCAGCCTGGGCAACAGAGAGAGCTTGCCTCAAAAATAAAAGAGGAGGGACAGGATTCTGCCACCCTCCTTCCAGACAATGCTTTGACTGTCCTCTACCCCAGGCAACTCTGGCGAAAAGTTCTGGACTTAAGTCACAGACTAGGGTTCTAGCTCTGGGCCTGGTGCCAGCTGTGATACCCTCCGAGAGCAAGTCACCTTGCCTTTCTCTGAGCCACAAATTCCTCATCTGCAGGATGTGAGTGCTGGTGATGATTCTAATGTTTGTCCCATGGGATTGAAGGCAAGGATTCCATCATTCAGACCCTGAGACACAGTTTTCACATAAATGGTTGACCAGCGCAATGCCTTAGCAATGTGGGGACCCCAAGAGGCCCGCTCAGCTGTGTGCATACACTGGGCAATGCGATTCCTGGAAGGCTGTGTGGGAATGCCCCTAGCAGGCTGAGTCCAGAGCCCCCCCACAGTGGACTCTCAGCAGTGGGAGGCCCTTCCCTTGCTCAATGGTAGTGGGGAAGCCGTGCTGAGTCAGCCCACCAGCCAGAGACCCTGGGGAAACGGTTGGAAATGAGACTGAACACACTGCTGCTCGGCTTTTCCCAGACTCGGGCACCTGGAGGTCCCCTAGACAGGGCGGGTGCCAGGAACCCGGAGATCTCAGAATCACATCTCCTCTCAGGCCCACCTTAGGACAGACGCCTCCCTCGGTGAGGCTCCCTTCTGTAGTCAGATTCCTCAGGACTTAGAAAATCCCCCCTCCTCACTGTGTAGACAGCGTCCATTTACTGGGTGCAGGCACCAGGATAGCTGCGGTACGTGCTCTCTCTCTGACGCCTCACAGCAACCCTGTGGGAGAAGATTTACCCTTCCTTCATTCTACAGATGAAGAAACTGAGGCTCAGAGAGGCTAAATGATTCGCCCAAGTCACACAGCCAGTTCCTGGCAGAGCAGGGATTAATGCTAGGACTGGCCTGCCTCTAAGCCTGCGAAGTGGGGAGAATCACTGACGAAGACACAAAGCCAAGATCAGTCCTGCATATGCTGGGGGAGAAGGCTCCCAGTGTTGCTGGTGATGAGTCATGGAAAGCACAGGAAATTCCTGTGCCCGCCATTCTTTCTGGAGGAGCAAAGATCCCCCAGAGATCATCAATGCCGAAGCCCACTGACACCCACACACCTCATCCCATGCTCCAACACACTACGTTCTGCCCCGCAGACACCCCATACCCTGGAATTCATACTTTCCAATTGAGGAGACTGGGTCTATATTCTTCGGACAGGGAAACTGAGGCAGATGGGAGGAGGGACAGGAAGAATACTACCTGGGCATCCATGATTGGGCTGAGACTACAGTTCCTCTCTCCAGCCTCTGAGTCCACGGCCTGAGCTATGCCCTGCATGGTGGCACCACAGCCCAGAGAGGTTTAGGGCCATGTCCTTGGTGCACGAGCATGCAGGACCCATTTTCAACTAAGAGTAAATACCAGGGCATCTTTGTTGTTTTAAGGATGGAAGTTTTCCTCTCAACCCTTATTGGCCATGTCTGGGCTTGTGGGGCTGTTATCAGGAGGGCTACTTCTGGGGCAAGCTGATGTCTTAGACTCCTTGAGAAGGTCTCAGCTCTCTCCATAAACTCCAAGAAGAGCACCTCACTTCCTGGGGTAAAAGCTCAAAATCCACTCCAGCCCAGACCAACCACTGTAGCCTTTGGCAGAAGACTGTTAAAGTCGGCAACGAGAAAATGGGAGAGGGCATTTGTGAGGAGGGTGTGAGGCTTCTCTGAACCCTATTCAGAGCTCCTGACCAGGTGGCCACTGGGGAAGGGAACAGAGAAGTGGTGGCGGCCCACAGCCGCCGCCCATGGTATCCAGGAATCACTGGCAAAGGCACACAGAGCTGCACAAACAACAGGGACCACGGCCACTCTGGATGCTCTGCTGCCCTCGGGGTTTCAGGGACTTGAGAAGAAAATAACAGTCGCACTGTTGCATTCAGACAGAATCACAAACTGACAGGGACAAGCACACACCAACCCAGGGACCCTAACAGATGATCACCAAGAATGACTTGGTAAGGGCCCCACAGCGAGGTGCCGACACCCAGCACCCTCCTGTGCGCCCTGCCTGCACGGCGCCCTCACGCCCGTCTCCCCGAAAGTCCGAGGCACCTCAGAGCAGCTCTGCCCACCCCATGGACATGTTTCCGACGTCCAAACATACAGCTGTCCCGTCACAACCACCCACTCACAAACTGTGACAGACACATAAACTGACGCCAAACTGTCCCACAAACAAGCAAGGGGATGACAACAGATGATCAAATGTAATTTAGTCAAGCTCGGTGCACCCCTCCACCACACACATACACACACACACATACACACACACACACACACACTACACGATGACACACATTCCTGTGTCCCCATCGATGTAAGTGGCCTCGCCTCTTGCTGGGCCCCCGGTGCCCCTCCAGGAAGTGCGGAGGCGAGGGGAATCTGGGGTCCGTGCTTGGGGTCCCAAGTCCGTGATCCCCACAGTCACCCCGGGCCCCAGCCCTGCAGCGCCGGCCCGCAGTGGACTCACCGGACGATGCCAAACATGACGAGCAAGTTGCCCAGCAGCCCCACGGCGCACACGGCCGAGTAGAGCGCGGTGATGGCGATTGCCAGGGCGAGGGACGAGGCGCTCCGCTCGCCCGGCGGCCCCGACGCATTGGCGCCCGCGCTGGGGAAGGCGCTGGGGTAGGCGTCCGAGGCGTTGGCGAGGAGCGGGGGCTGCAGCTCGGCGCGGGCGGAGGGGGCCGGTTCCATGGCTGCCGGCCGGCCACGCCGCGTCCCTCTCTACTGTGCGCCCTGGGCGCGGGGACCCGGCGCGAGGGGCGCCCGAAGGCAGAGGCCGCGGCCCCGACGCCGCCGGCTGCCGCGCCCCGGTCGCCCCGCTGTCTCTGCGCCTCCTCCGCCGGCCTCGCCGCCCGCACCGGCCCAGCCCTCGGCGTCCGCCCGCTCTCCTCGCCCGGAGCTCTGTGAGCCCGGAGCAGCCGCAGGCTCCTCGGACGCGCCCGCCGCGCGCACCACGTGGCCCGGAGGCGGCCGCCAGTCTGCGCCCGCGACCGGGGGCGGGCGCTGCACCACCGGCTCAGAGCTGGGCAGGGGAGGCCTCCCGCCCCCTCATGGGGATGGTTCGCAGGCTCCAGTGCGCCCAGTCCCAGCCTGGACTCTCCTCCCCACCCCCTTGCCACTTTGGTGCCTGAGGGACCTGGGTGTGGGTCCCGCCTCCCGCCCCTGCACTAACCGGTGAGTGACCTTGTGTAGTTACTTAACCTCCCACACCTTCACTCTCTTTGTCTGTGACTTGAGGAAAATCGTACCACCTCCCTCAGAGGGAGATTGGGGAGACTGAATAAAATGATTCGAACAAAGAGCTTAGCGCAGTGCCCTGCGCACAGTTGCATGCTCCGTAAATAACCCGTATTATCCGTGCCTTTCTTGCACCCCATTCATTCGCTCAACAAATATTTTGAGGGTGCCTAATAGAAGAGCCAGGTATTTGGCGGGACCCTCTAGTACACAAAACCAGAGGCAGCCTCTGCTTCCTGGGGCTTACAGCCCAGTGCAGGAGAGAGAGCGAGCACTCCTAAAATTACACTAAGATACAGGAAGAAATTGAGAAAGTGGCAGGGTCTACAAAACCCAGCGGTCAGGACGGCGTCCCTGGGGAAACGACACTTGAGGTGTGGTGTGAAGTTTGGGGAGGAACTAAGTAAGGAAGAAACAAGGGAAGAGGATTCCGGATACAGGAAGCAGAGGGACTGAAAGGAAGTCAGGAAGAGGAGAAGGCAGGAAGTGAGGGCGATGAGGCGATGGGCAGGCTCTTGAAGACCACCTTAAGGAGCGCTCCGGCGGCAGTGCGAGCAAATGGAAGTGGGGCACTTGGCTAAGTCATCCTTCTCCTTGGGGTGCCCAGGCTTTTCAGAACGTCCTCTCTACCAAGCATTATCCTCTCAGGCACTGTGATTAGCACTTTATCCATGCACCAACACTTTGGCATAGCTTCTATTATTGTCCCCATGTTACAGATGAGAAGACTGAAGCTCGGCACTAAATTAAGCCATATAGTCATTATTTCTATCAGAACTGGTCTCCCTCCTTAAAGGGCCCGGGCCTGATTGATCCCAGCATCCAGGAGAGGGCTGGGGTCATAGCAGGTGCTCAAGAAATGCTTTTTGGATAATAAAGATCCCAAAGGGAATTGGAGTGGAGCAACATTAGGTGTTCTGAGGTCTAGACTCTGGGGCAATGCTCTTGGCTCTGTGTGTGGCTGGGCAAGGACCCCTCCCTCATCTCACCCTCTAGCTGGAGTCATCCATCTACAGTATGTGCAAGCCTCGTACCCTTTCCCAGAGAAAAAGCCAGAATTCCCAAGTTCACCCTCTCGGACATTTTCTCCACCCACTCAGCTGCTGGCCAGGTGCCTCTACCAACTGCAGCAACCCCCACCCCAGGACTTTCCCACTCAATCACCCAAGGACTTTTCAGAAAGATTTTTGCTGTGGTCACCTGCTGCCAAAACTCTCTCCCCTGTCCCGAAGGGCCTGGTCCTCATAGACTTTTCTAGTGCCAGCAGAGAGAAATTGGGACAGGAAGGAGGAGGGCTGATTTATTGGAACTCTGGTCCCCTCCCTAAGTTTTTTCCTGTCAACTCCAAGCCAAGTTTTTTCCTGCCTTGGGACATTTGAACATCCTATTCGTTCCACTTGGAAGGCTGGACTGCTTGCTTCCTCAGCCTAAGCGGTTTTTTATATTTTTTTAATTTTTATTTATTTATTTCTTTTTGAGATGGACTCTCACTCTGTCGCCCAGTCTGGAATGCAGTGGCACAATCTTGGCTCACTGCAACCTCCGCCTCCCTGATTTAAGCAATTCTCTGCCTCGGCCTCCCAAGCAGCTGGGATTACAAGCACCTGCCACCACACCTGGCTAATTTTTGCATTTTTAGTAGAGATGGGAGGGTCTCACCATCTTGGCCAGGCTGGTCTTGAACTCCTGATGTCGTGATCCACATGCCTCGGCCTCTCAAAGTGCTGGGATTACAGGCATGAGCCATCGCGCCTGGCCCTAAGCATTATTTATCCCTCAAGTTTCAGCTTAAATATCACTTCCTTTGTGAAACCTTCACTGATCCCCACCCCACCTCCAACTAGCCCAGCTCTCCTTATTATCTGGTAGCATCACGTGCCTCTTCTTTACATGTTAACAGTTTCCCAAGTGTGTATTTGTATCATTGGACTTTTTGTGCATCACCTTCATCCAAAAAAGTCTTGTGTAAAACTAACCACTCAGTACTACGCTCAATAACTGAGTTGACAGGATCATTAATACCCCAAACCACAGCATCACACAACATACCCAGGTAGCAAACCTGCACGTGGACCCCCTAGATCTACAAAACAAATTGAAAAAGACCGGGCAGGGTGGTGCACACCTGTAATCCCAACACTTTGGGAGGCTGAGGCAGGCAGATCACTTGAGCCTACGAATTTGAAACCAGCCTGGGCAACATGGCAAAACCCTGTCTCTACAAAATAAAATAAAATAAAATACAAAAATTAGCCAGGCATGGTGGTGTGTGCGCCTAGTCCCAGCTACTTGGGAGACTGAGGTGGGAAGATCATTTGAACCTGGAAAGTAGAGGCTGCGGTGAGCCAAGATTGTGCCCCTGAACTACAACCTGGGTGACAGCAAGACCCTGTCTCAAAAAAAAAAAAAAAAAAAAAAAGTTGACAAAAAGAAAACGAAAAAAAAGTCGAAAAAAACATTAAAAGACCTTGTGCATTTCTGTGCCCTCCTTAGCGCAGGCCCTGACACACAGGTGCTCATGAGTGACTGAATAAAAAAGCTCAGTTCCAATTTTGGTTACTCTGTAATTTTTTTTTCCTTAAAGAAGTTCACAATCAGGAAGTTTTGAAGGAGGGCTGGGAGTGGTGGCTCATGCCTGTAATCCCAGCACATTGGGAGGCCAAGGCAGGTAGATCACCTGAGGTCAGGAGTTCAAGACCAGCCTGACCGACATGGTGAAACCCCATCTCTACCAAAAATACAAAAAAAAAAAAAAAAAAAAAAAAAAAAAAAAGCTGGGCATGGTGATGGGTGCCTGTAGTCCCAGCTACTTGGGAGGCTGAGGCAGGAGAATTGCTTGAACCTGGGAAGTGGAGGTTGCAGTGAGTCGAGATCACGCCACTGCACTCCAGCCTGGGCAACAAGACAGAAACTCCATCTCAAAAAAAAAAAGAAGTTGTGAAAGATATGTAAATGACCAAGTACCTGAGTGAAATAATTGCTAAGAAAACATACATGCCAACTGCAAGTGAATTGCCCCATTCTGAACATTGGAAGAACAAATGGAAATTCAAAGGCTTCTAAAGGGATTTCCACAATCACCTCTAAAATGAAATGAAAACTTGGAAATGATCAATTCTTACATGGGTGTAAGCATTCTAGCTTATGCAGCCTCTACCTCCCAGGATCAAGTGACCCTCCCACCTAAGCCTCCCCAGCTGTTAGGACCACAGGCATGCACCACCACAGCCAGCTAATTTAAAAAAAAAAAATTATTTTTTTGGAGATGGTGTCTTGCTCTGTCACCCAGGCTGGAGTGCAGTGGCGCACTCTTGGCTCACTGCAACCTCCACCTCAGCCTCCGGAGTAGCTGGGATTACAGGCACCCACCACTATGCCTAGCTAATTTCTTTGTATTGTTAATAGAGACAGGGTTTCACTATCTTGGAAAGGCTGACCTTGAACTCCTGACCTCGTGATCCCCCCGCCTCAGGCTCCCAAAATGCTGGGATTACAGGCATGAGCCACCGCACCTGGCCTTTAATTTTTTTTTTTTTTTTTTTTTTTTTAGACAGAGTTTCGCTCTTGTTACCCAGGCTGGAGTGCAATGGCGCCATCTCAGCTCACCGCAACCTCCGCCTGCTGGGTTCAGGCAATTCTCCTGCTTCAGCCTCCTGAGTAGCTGGGATTACAGGCACGTGCCACCATGCCCAGCTAATTTTTTTGTATTTTTAGTAGAGACAGGGTTTCACCATGTTGACCAGGATGGTCTCGATCTCTTGACCTCGTGATCCACCCGCCTCGGCCTCCCAAGGCCTTTAATTTTTTTTTTTTTTTTTTTTTTTTTTTTGAGACGGAGTTTCGCTCTTGTTACCCAGGCTGGAGTGCAATGGCGCCATCTCGGCTCACCGCAACCTCCGCCTGCTGGGTTCAGGCAATTCTCCTGCCTCAGCCTCCTGAGTAGCTGGGATTACAGGCACGCGCCACCATGCCCAGCTAATTTTTTGCACCTTTAGTAGAGACGGGGTTTCACAATGTTGACCAGGATGGTCTCGATCTCTTGACCTCGTGATCCACCTGCCTCGGCCTCCCAAAGTGCTGGGATTACAGGCTTGAGCCACCGCGCCCGGCAATTTTTTTTTTGTAGAGATGGTGTCTCACTACTTTGCCCAGGCTGGTCTTGAACTCCTGGCCTGAAGCCTCCCAAAGTGATGGAATTATAGGTATGAGCCACTGCACCTGGCCTTCTAGTCTACTTACCTTTAAAAGGCAGTCTCATTTCTGTGGTCACAAATTCATTTAACAACCCCATTGGCTACGATTTATGGAGAGCATGTTCTATGGCAGACACTGAACCAAATGCTTTGTGGATTATCTCATTTAATCCCCAAGCAGCCCTAAGAGCATATAGGGTTATTATTATTCCGTTTTGCAGAGGTCAGGTGACCTGCCCAAGCCAGAACCGAGATGTCAAGCTAGGTCTGTGTGACTCCAAACCCCAGTCTTCTGACTCCTCCCAGCACAAAGACTGAGTCACCCAGAAAAACATACTCCATCTGCCTCTGTTCAGCAGAGTTTCCCCCAGGTGGAGGGCAATGATTTACTTGGAGCTTGGGAGATTCTTGAATTCATCCCCACTCTTGGGGGGGACCAGGGTAGACACAGTGCTCCATACCTGGGTTACAGAAGAGTTTGAGCTGTTTTTGGAGCTTGTCCA